TGGCAGGGAAAGAACTGCATGCTATGCTTGGGGCCGGCTGCTGCCCAGAGTCAGGATGGTGTCAAGGCACAGAGTTGTTGGATGTGTTTTGGCAGTGAACAGAAAAGCAGGAGAGTGGAGGGCTGGAACATTCCTGGAATTGGAATTTGTTAGGTTAGATGCAGCAAAAAAGCATAGAGTTAGAGGAACTGAGACTTCTAAGTGAGAAAACATGGACTGTGGGTTCAGACTGCAGAAGAAAGAAAATCTGGGAGCAGATAGGGAAAATGGCCTTTTTTTTAACTTAAGAGCGTTCAGCCTTCATTTGACAGAATGGATGTTATGCTTTATTAGTTGATCAGATAGGGAGAGTATCTAAGGCATCTAATATGATATGCTGTCACTGAGTTGAGTGTAACTGACAAGCAGATTGAGCGAGTTGGCAAAATCCTTGGGATTCAGGGCACACTTACATCTGGTTGGTGTGTAAATTAGTGTCACTTTTCTGAGGTTAATTTTCCAATGTCTGCCTTTTGAAATTGTGATAGTCTTTTGACCCAGAAAGTACTCATGCACAGCACTTAAAAGAAAGTTACTCAGCAAATGTTTTTTTGTATTTTGTAGCTGTTCATCATATTGATTTAAATAAGTAAAAATTTGAACTTTTAAATTCAATATACACCTTTAATACTGTGCAAATATTTAACTCCTCTGCATAGTTAACTGAGAATATTATGTTGGAAAAAAATATGTAAGACTCCTGTTGTCTTGATAGAGTATTCATCTCTAACTCATTCAGACTCTCAGATGAAATTAAATAGATTTCTTCCATTTTCAGACAAAGCACAGTTGCTTCTAGACCAAGAAGTTGAATTAGCATCCCAAAAGACAGAAGATGGTAAAACCCCTAAGCCACTTTCTCTGAAATCTGATAGGTCAACAAACAATCTGGAGAGGCGTACTCCAAGGACCAAGATTAGACCTATAAGTTTGCCTATAGATAGACTACTTCTTGCAAGCCCTCCTAATGGGAGAAATGGCAGAAATATGGGAAATGTAAATTTAGACAAGTTTTATAAGAATCCTGCCTTTGAAGGAGTTAATAGAAAAGACACTGCTACTACTGTTTGTTCCAAATTTAATGGCTTTGACCAGCAAACTCTACAGAAAATTCAGGATAAACAGTATGAACAAAACAGTGTAACTGTCAAGACTACAGTGATCATGCCCAGTGCACTCCAGGAAAAAGGAGTGACGACACCCCTCCAGATTAGCGGGGACCATTCTGTCAGTGCCTCTCAGCCCAGTAAGCCATACATAGAGCCAGTCAGGTCGGTGAGAGAGGTATCTGAGAGACGGTCTTCGGATTCCTACCCTCTTGCTCCTGTCAGAGCACCCAGAACACTGCAGCCTCAACACTGGACAACATTTTATAAACCACATGCTCCCGCCATCAGTGTCAGGGGGAATGAGGAGAAGCCAGCTTCACCCTCAACAGCAGTGCCTTCTGGCACAGCTCACGATCCCCAAGGTCTCATGGTGAAGTCAATGCCAGACCCAGACAAAGCATCGGCTTGTCCTGGGCAGGGAACTGGTCAACCTAAAGAGAACTCTGAGGAAGTTGGCTTGCCTGATGTGAATCCAACATGTCAGAGACCAAGGCTAAAACGAATGCAACAGTTTGAAGACCTTGAAGATGAAATTCCACAATTTGTATAGGGTTGTCAAATTTCAGGGGTTTTTGTTGTTGTTGTTGTTGTGTTGTTTCGTGGTATTGTGCTTGTTTTATGATTATGAAAGAGTGTTTTGACAGGGCCCCTTTTGTATGGAACTGCTAAATCATGGGTTTTGCCTTTGGTTGTTGTATTATCCTCTGTTGGTAATATTGAATGATAGAATGTTTTGATAGGGTCACATTTGTGCCTCACTGGAATTATCTTTAAATTCTGTGTTTGTGAAGTTGTGAATAAGATATGTGGATTCATATTTTTTAAAAGGTCATTTGACTTTCCCCATAAAATGGTCCATTTAAATGCATCCCTAATATATGATATAGTTCTCAACTGATAGGTGCAATTGGGGAAAATCAGGTTTATTTTTTTTGGAGTGAAACTATTGTAAGTGCTTATTTATAAAAGGAATGTTTTTGAATGCAAGTGCCTAAAAAGATCTTTGTTTGGTATGAATATGTTTTTTTCATACAATTTTATAGTGCATCTTTTACCATTTGTACTTTTTAAAGATATGTATGTAAGCTCTTATTTTTCAATTGGCAATTCACTTAATTTTTTAGTGTTTACATAATGGCCAAAAGGCTTGCAAATCTGTATTTAATTGCCTTTTAATTAATTGCCGGTTTTTACATGTGGTAGTCAATTAAATTGTACAAAGAAAATGCACTTAAACCTGTTTCTAAATTATATATTTCAGTTATATTTTATTTGGCTTTAGATGGTTTTAATACATTTGATAGTTTTTCACCCCTTGGCTTTATTTTATATAAACTTGTTTTTCAACAGTTCTGAGCTTTTTGGTATTTTATAAATGGTCCAAAAAATGGCTGTTTCAGAAGTTTTTAAGTTCAGTGCATTTCCTCTTGATATTGCCTGGGTTTTGTTAAAACCATTCCTTTTGTATGAAATGTTTTGACTTATGAATCATTTTATATACTTGCTCTACCTGGATTGTCAACTATTGAAAGAGTATATATTCCATCCAAATCAAGCTAAAATTTATTTAAGTTGATTCTGAGAGTACAGGTCAGTAAGCCTCATTATTTGGAATTTAAGAGAATGTATAGGTGATCACATCTGTTTCATTTATAAAATGTCCAGTTTTTAGGACTAATACATTCCTATTATTTTCTGAGTTTTATCATTTTGTCTAAAATAGGATATAAAAGGGACAAAAAATAAAGTAGCCTGTTTTTGTATCTGTGAATTATATTTCTACTAAATGTTTTTGTATGACTGTGTTATACTTGGTTATATATATATATATCAACTTGTTAAATTATTTCAAGTTCTCATGGCTTCTTTTAAATTGTTGCCTCTAACAGTATGAGAGTTTAAGGTTAAGCCTTATTTTTAGTCCTCATTGTACAAAATATACTGGAATCATATTACAGTGAAAACCTTAAAAGAAAATTAGAGCCAACATGTGTTGAGCTTTCTCTTTGTGCCAGGAACTTTACTAAGTTCCTACATAAATTATTTTATTTCAAGTTCACATCGGCCTATAACGGGTGGGTAAGCATGTTGTTATTCCTGTGTACAGATAAGGAAACTAAGGCTTAGTTAAATGACTCACTTCTATGTTCCACAGTTGTAACAGGTTGAGTCAAATCTCAAACACAGGGCTGTCAGATCTTGATGATTAGTGCTCTTAATGACTATGATTGCTAAATAATACCTGGTAGTTTTTAACAATAGAAAATGCATCTTTAAAATTTTTTAATTGTGGTAAAATACCCATAACATTTACCACTTGAACTGTTTTTAAGTATATAGTTCACTGGCATTAAATATATTCACATTGTTTTGCAACTATGAGCAGCGATTCATCTCTAGAACATTTTCATCATCCTATACTTAAACTTAGAAAATGTACTTTTGAACTCTTTCAGTTTTCCTATTTAATATATGGAAACAACCCAAAGGTTATATCATGTAATAAACTCATTTCTCTGTTTCCCTCACAGCTCAGAAATAAGAGTTTCACTTTTGGGTCCTTTCTATCATTAGGGCTCCCTGGCATTTTGTCTAGTTTAGAGCCTTCAGCCTCTAGATGGTTTCTAGTTTTCTGGGGCCCTGAGGCAAATATCTCTTTCGAAGAGGTTGCTGTTGAGTATCCACAGTGTGCACTGTGTTGTGCTACCCAATAATGTGGCGGAAATCATTTATCCAGAAGTCGTTTTATGCCATATAGAAAGATGTGAGCAAAGGGAAAGGGCAACAGTGGGAGTCCTGTTAGTGCTGCCAGGACACCAGGAAGCCTGTGGGGAAGCGTATTGTCCAGCGTTCTGAGAAGTTGTTTCTGAAGGATTGATCATAACTTCCCCAGCCATGTTTCACCTATGAAGAACTTAATTAGAATTTATGAGTACAATATGTTAAATTTTTAGTGTACCTTACTTAGGCAGTTTATTTGTATTGATGCAGAGACGAAGACTATACGATTCCTAAAACTTGGTGCCTAGTGAACTCATAAGCAGATAGAATTGTACCTCAGTTATTTGGGTGATTTAAAGATGGTACTGTGGCTACACTATTTCCAGCTATCGTGTTACTTACAGCATTTGTACAACTAGAAACATCTCTTTAAATGAAAACCATTTATATTGTTAAATAAGTTATAGTCAATGGAATTCTGTGGGTTTTTCTTTCCTAGGGCCGGGAAATTATGGTGATGTGTTGATATGATTATATATGTAGAATATTCAATTAACATCTAGGGATTAGCAAAGTTGCTACATTCACAATCAGTACGTAAGTCAGTAGTATTCCTGGATATCAGCAACTAAGAGAAGTGAAAGTTTTTAGAAAGATCTCTTCAATATTATTTAAAAATATAAAATACTGTACTTAAGAATAAATCTAGGCCGGGCATGGTGGCTCACACCTATAATCCCAGCACTTTGGGAGGCCAAGGCCGGTGGATCACGAGGTCAAGAGATTGAAACCATCCTGATCAACATGGTGAAACCCCATCTCTACTAAAAATACAAAAATTAGCTGGGCGTGGTGGCACGTGCCTGTAATCCCAGCTATTCAGGAGGCTGAGGCAGGAGAATTGCTTGAACCCAGGAGGCAGAGGTTGCTGTGAGCCGAGATCATGCCACTGCACTCCAGCCTGGGTAACAAGAGCGAAACTCCATCTCAAAAAAAAAATAAAAGAATAAATCTAACAAAAGACATACAAGATCTTAATGGAGAACATGTTAGACGATGTCAGGAAGCGTTTAAGGAGATCTTAAATAAATGCAGCACTCTATAATGTACACAAACTAGAAGCCTCAGGCATTCATTTACTTCACATTTATTTACAGATTCAATGTTATCCCAGCCAAAATATTTCTTGCACCATTACCTCTATGTTAGTGTGTGTTTCCTTAAGATAAGGGCATTCGTGCATAACCACAGTACAACCATCAAATTTAGGAGGCTGACATTGGCATCATAATGAGAGCTAATCCATAGACCACATTCAATTTGCTGATTCTGATTGCCTCAGTAATGTTCCTGTGTTCTGTCATCCCAATCCATGACCACATGGTGCATTTGTCTATCTCTTGTTTCACTCAGTCCAGAACAGCTTTTCAGTCTTGTCTTTGACTTTTGAGGAGTATTGGCCAGTTTGTAAAATGTTCCTTAGTTTGGGTGTATCTATGTTTCCCATAAGATTTAGGATAGACATTTTTGTCCAATACCACAGAAACAATGCTGTATTCTCAATGTGTCATGCCCAGATGCACACAATGTCAATTTGTCCTGTTTCTGGTGGTATTAATTTTGGTCACTTGGTTCAGATGGTATCTACTATGTTTCTCCATTGTAAAATTAAAATTAGGAAGTACTTTGTGAGGAGATTCTTAAAGATTGTAAGTGTCCTGTTTCTCATCAAATTTTCACCAGCTAGTTTGAGTCTATTGACAATACCTGACTGAATCAATTACTATTTTGGTTGTCAACTGGTGAGTCTATGACTTCTGCTTTGGTTGGCATCTTACTACTATAAGGAAGAGCTCTTCTTTCTCCATTGCTTAAATCAGCATAGACTCATGAATGCCCAGTTTATTCAGTAGGTTACAGTGTATTACTGTCATTCATTTTCATGCTGAAATTTTCCCAGATTTGGTTTTCGGGAGTCTCTCGTCTCAAAGGAACACAGCTGGCTTCTGCCTCATTACTTTTTCAGCTCTTATTTTTTTTTATAAGCTCATCTTAAACTTTTTCCTACTCCCTACTCCAGGTCTAAAATTAGCCATTTTTCCAAGGCGCCCTGGTTTCTTTAAATGGGGAATGGTATATGGAAATGAAGACCTGAGACAGGCTCACTGCCCTGTTGGTTAACAGCTCAAAGAAAAACATGTGTCTACACACATGTTAGAATAGTCACCTACTTCTATATGTATTTACATACATACGTATTGAAAACTGAGTTCACATTGACACCTTCAATCCTTTGGGGTTAATTTTAGTCTTCCCTTCCATCTTCGTAACGTCCTTCTTTCATAGAAACCTGACTCATAATCCTAAACAAATAATTAGTTCATTCTTCCTCCCTCCCTCAACCTATTGACAATGCCAGCTGCTGTCTCATCACACCTAGTCCAAATATGTCAAATAAATCCCCAGTCATAGCTGCATCGGTCCTGACCACAACAATCCCTGACATCCTCCCCAGCCTGGACCATGCAGCTGAATCCTTGACGTGTCAGTCCTGATGTGGTGATGTCAGTCCTGAACATACCATCGGAATCTTAGGCTCCTGTCATCGGGCTGGAAGGGAGAGAGACAAATTCACAACCTTTTGATAATGAGCAATTATTGAATACTTACTGAATTTACCAGAGAAAGTTTTAAAATGTACAGTTATACATATTTACCAGGAATGTTAAAACACAGACATTTATGAAATTTATAGAAAATACTGAATTATGGTTCTCCCCTTTTTGGTCTTGGTTGTAACACATTTTTAAATATTAACACTTCTTACAATAACTATATCATAGTACATTCTTTTAAGTGTCCTCACACTCAACCAATCTACTCTGCATACATAAAATAGCATGCGGTTTGGAAAATACATTAAATGACTAATTGGCTATGCTTCTGGGTTATAAGTTTGATCTGAGTTCATCTTCAGCTTACAACTAACAAAAAGCTGTACATCACATGAAAACGTGTCTCAGGTGTCTGGATACGGTCCTGCCTATTCACTACAGGATATTGTAAGTCTTCCTTTTATAGTGTTAACAGAATTGGAAATGAGATCAATGAGGCATTGCTCATTGATAATTTAATACAGCACCGAAATTTCAAGATCAGGATGACTATAACACAGCCTGACTATAAGAATGGCAAGATCTTATTTACAATTGCAGACACAGACCCAACATACAATCATTGCCATCTGCCAAATTCTCTGTAGGTCATTTCATTTTATACCAGAAATTTGCTTTTTGAGATTACCTAGCAAAATAAAAAATTTTCTGTATCCAATTATTTTCATCAAAGTTGTAAGAGTTCATCTAGTAGTTTCCAAAAAAATCAGAATGTGTTACGGTTCAACACAGGAGATTAGGATGGTGAACCAAGGTCTACGTATTCTTCATCTGCAAGTACAGATAAATAACTCACACAATTAAGATTCAATGAGAGTTTTAAATACTTTTTTGTTTTAAAACTGAGTCATAAATGCAGAATTGTGTACATATACACGTATCATTTAAAGAATGACTATAAAATGAATTCCCACTTGCCCCCAACACCCCTAATAGGACATTAAGGAACCACCAGGATGCCCCTTCCTGATCACACGCCTGACTCTTCTTGAAGCCGATGTAACCACTATCTTGATTTTTATGTTAATCATTCCTTGGCAAAAAAAAAAAACTATACAATTTTAACTATATTTTTTCTTTTTTAAAAACTAAAGTATTTCACTGGGTATTTATATTGCAGTATATTAATCCCACTGTTGATGGGCATTTAGGTTGCTTTCAGTTTTTTTGTTACTATGAACAATGTTATATTGAAACTTATTTTTTTCTTCATTCCCTTTTTTTGTTTTTGAGATGAAGTCTCGCTGTGTTATCCAGGCAGGAGTGCAGTAGCACGATCCTTGGCTCACTGCAAGCTCTGCCTTCCTGGTTCAAGCAATTCTCTTGCCTCAGCCTCCTGAGTAGCTGGGATTACAGGTGCATTCCACCACACCCACTAATTTTTGTATTTTTAGTAGAGACAAGGTTTCACCATTTTGGCCAGGCTAGTCTTGAACTCCTCACTTCAAATGGTCGGCCTGCCTCGGCCTCCTAAAGTTGTAGGATTACAGGTGTGAGTCACCACACCCCGCCCTTCATTCACTTTTTTTTTTTTTTTTTTAATACAGAGTCTCCCTCTGTCACCCAGGCTGGAGTGCAGTGGTGTGATCTCAGCTCACTGCAACCTCCTGCTCCTGGGATCAAGTGATTCTACTGCCTCAGTCTCCCGAGTAGCTGGGATTATAGGCGCCTGCCACCACACCCAGTTAATTTTTGTATATTTAGTAGAGACAGGATATCACCACATTAGCCAGGCTGGTCTTAAACTCCCTACCTCAAGTGATCCGCCTGCCTCTGCCTCCCAAAGTGCTGGGATTATAGACATGAGCCACCGCACCCAGCCCACTTTTTAAAAACACAACAACAAAATAAGTGTTGTGGTGATCATCTCATTTAATCTTTACTTAGGCAGGTGTGATAGTTAATACTGTAAACTTGGTTAGATTGAAGGATACAAAAGTATTGAACCTGGTTGTGCCTGTGAGGGTGTTGCCAAAAGAGATTAACATTTGAGTCCGTGGGCTGGGAAAGGCAGATCCACCCTTAATCTGGGGGGCACCATCTAATCAGCCGCCAGCAAATATAAAGCAGGCAGAAAAATGCAAAAAAGAGACACTGGCCTAGCTTCCCAGCCTACATCTTTCTCCTGTGCTGGATGCTTCCTGCCCTTGAACATCAGACTCCAAGTTCGGTTTTGGGACTTGGACTGGCTCTCCTTGCTCTTCAGCTTGCAGATGGCCTCTTGTGGGTCCTTGTGCTTGTGTAAGTTAATACTTAATAAACTCTCCATATCCTATTAGTTCACATATATACATATATATATGTCCTATTAGCTCTGCCCCCGAGAACCCTAATGCAGATTTTGGTACTGGAAGTGGTTCTAGAGGAACAGAATATTAAGGGTGGAGTTCTTTTGTTGGTTTTGGGGTTTTTGGAGTCGGCTGCTTAATATGATTAGATCCAAAAATGCTAAGGACTCTACTTTTAATAGTATGGAGAACACTGATAGTCCTTGCTGTGAACTGTTTAGAGTGTTATGCAAAATAAATGCATTTGACACTCCTGATTCTTCATTCGTGAGAGGCAAGGAGTTTAGTGACTCTATACATAATACCTTTGACCATATGCAGAGAACCAAGGAACATAATGAAGCTGGTTGGTTGCTCCCAAGCTCAGTGGACAAAGTGATGAAAGAAAATTATGAACTCAGGGATTCGGGATTCTGGCTTCAGAAGAAGATAAAGAGCCACAGATCTGCTAAGAGTGCCCTGAATGAGAGTATCTCTTGTAGAGAAAGAGCTGAAGCTGTGGGAAAACTATTTCAAGCTATTATTATGTGAGTGACTGACTTGTAACAACAAACACCATGCACAGTCTTACCAGGCGTTACTGCTAAAGTGAGGACATTGATTGGAAAAGAATGGGACCCTGAAACTTGGAAGGGGAACATGTGGGAGGACCCTGATGAAACTAGGGACACTGAGTTGTGGAATAGATCTGTAAGGGCAGCACCTACATCTTTGAAGAGGCCTATCTATAATTGCTCTTCTCTGTATGTCAGATCTAATGATGGAAACTGAAGTCACTCAACTATAAAATTTAAATACACTGGAAATAATTGGATCCTGAGGTGGCAGGGACCAAGTGGTGACACTCAACCATCAAAGGCAAGGTGGGCGTAGCTACCATAGTAATAGCAGAGGCAAAGCGGCAATCAGAATAGCCTGACTTGTGTAGAGCTCTGGCATTGGCTAATTAATCATGGTGTTCCTAGAAGTGAAATGGATAGGAAGGCTACTGCATTCCTACTTAATTTATTCAAACAGAAAATTTCTAGGTTGAATGGACAAAAGACTAATTTGAATTATAAAAGCAAAGAATCATGGCCCCTCAATCAATTTCCAGACTTGAGCCAGTTTACAGACCCAGAACTTCTTGAACGAAGGGGAGGCCAGGTTCCCTTGAGAAAGGACCCACTAATTGACCCACTGACAATTTATACAGTGAATCTTTTTCCCATTCTTCCCCAAAGAGATCTCTGGCCTTTTACCAGGGTAACTAAACGGGGGAAAGGGAAATGATCAGACATTCTGGGGACACTGGCTCTGAGCTGAAGTTGATTCCAGGGGACCCAAAGCATCACTGTGGTCCTCCGGTTAAAGTAGGGGCTTATGGAGATCAGAAAATTAATGGAGTTTTAGCTCAAGTCCAACTTACAGTGGGTCCAGTGGGTCCCCAGACTTATCCTGTGGTTATTTCCCCAGTGCCAGAATGCATAATTGCCATAGACATACTTAGCAGCTGGCAGAACCCCCACATTGGCTCCCTGACTGGTAGGGTGAGGGCTATTATGGTGGGAAAGGCCAAACTGAAACCATTAAAGCTGCCTCTACCTAGAAAAATCATAAATCAAAAACAATATCACATCCCTAGAGGGACTGCGAAGATTGCTGCCACCATCAAGGACTTGAAAGATGCAGGGGTGGTGATTCCCAACACATCCTGCTCAACTCTCCCATTTGGTCTATGCAGACGACAGATGGCTCTTGGAGAATGACACTGGATCATCATAAGCTTAACCAAGTGGTGACTCCAGTTGCAGGGGAGTGGTGGTTTCATTGCTTGAGCAAATTAACACATCTACTGGTACCTGGAATGCAGCTATGGACTTGGCAAATGCCTTTTTCTTCATTCCTGTCCATAAGGCCTACCAGAAGCAATCTGCCTTTAGCTGGCAAGGCCAGCAATATACCCTTACTGTCCTACCTCAGGGGTATATTAACTCACAAGCTTTGTGTCATAATCTAATTCAGAGAGACCTTGATTGCTTTTTGCTTCCATGAGATATCACACTGGCCCATTACCTTGATGACATTATGCTGATTGGATCCAGTGAGCAAGAAGTAGCAGACACACTGGACTTATTGGTAAATTTGTGTGCAAGAGAATGGGAAATAAATCTGACTAAAATTCAGGGACCTTCTACCTCAGTCAAAATTTCTAGGGGTTCAGTGGTATGGGGCCTGTTGAGATATTCCTTCTAGCCAGGCATGGTGGTTCATGCCTGTAATCCCAGCACTTTGAGAGGCTGAGGCTGGTGGATCACGAGGTCAGGAGCTCGAGACCAGCCTGGCAAGCATGGTGAAACCCTGTCTTTATTAAAAATATTAAAAAGTAGCTGGGTGCAGTGGCACACACCTATTGTCCCAGTTACTCAGGAGGCTGAGGCAGGAGAATTGCTTGAACCCAGGAGGTGGACGTTGCAGTGAGCCAAAATCACGCTACTGTACTCCAGATTGAGTGACAGAGCGAGACTCCACCTTAAAAAAAAGAAGAGATATTCCTTCTAAGGTGAAGGTTAAGTTGCTGCATTTGGCCCCTCCTATAACCAAGAAAGGCGCAATGCCTAATGGGCCTGTTGGGATTTTGGAGACCACATTCCTTATTTGGGTGTGT